TATTGCGAATATAATTTTTTAGAGTGAGAAGGTACCTACAAAAGCTTACACTAAATCACTGCATTCAAGTTGTAAAATAAAAATATATCGAATACGTTAACTAAAAAAACTAGAGGTACCTTTCGATGGGGTACATCCATCAATATTGTACTGGTCTAGCAAGCCTAGCCTCAGTTGCAAGATGAACAGTCAGGTGTATAATGATATCAAAGAATGATGATGGAAAAATCTGCTCAAGCTTGCACAAAATTAAGGGAATTTCAGCTTCTAGCTTCTTCAACTTATCATCCTTAATGTTTTTAGCACACAATTCCCGAAAGAATCTGTAAAAATCATTGATCACTAAACTAAATGATTTAGGGAGAGAACTCTTGAGAGAGAGTGGAAGAAGATGCTCCATAATAATATGGTGATCATGACTCTTCAACCCTTCGATCTTGCCTTTAACAATCTTTATCTTCTTACTTAATGATCCTGAATACTCCGTAGGAACTTTCAACTCATGTAACACCTGAAGAAACCTTTTCTTTTCATCTAGTGACATGTGATACACATCATTGGGGAGTACAAATTGGTCAGGATTGCCTGCTTTCGGTATAGGATGCAACTCTTTTCTAATGTTCCACGCTTGGAGATCCCTTTGAGCTTTGAGGTTATCTTTTGATTTTTCATCTTTACAGAGAAGTAAGTTAAGTATGTGCTCAGATACTCCCTTCTCAATGTGCATAACGTCTAGATTGTGCCGCACTTTATTTGTCTTCCAGTAGGGTAGTTCGAAGAAGATACTTTTCTTGTTCCGATTGTGCCGCACTTTATTTGTCTTCCAGTAGGGTAGTTCGAAGAAGATACTTTTCTTGTTCCATCCCTATGGTGTTTCTTGCCTTCCCTTAACTTTTTTAGGGTAGTTCGAAGAAGATACTTTTCTTGTTCCATCCCTATGGTGTTTCTTGCCTTCCCTTAACTTTTTTGAAAGTCAAATTATTTTTACCATTCCACTGAGCAAGTATATCCTCTCCGGATTATGGGTCAGGACGCAGGCGATTCTCTTTTGTACCATCAAAGTGGATGATGTCATCTCTATACGGATGATTTTCATCTAACATGCGCTAATGGCCGCAATAACAAGTCTTATTGCTAAAGGGTAGTCTTCTCAATGTTGTCTGGAGATGACAGTAAGGACATGCAGTGTAACCATGTACAGACCAACCAGGAAGCATTCCGTACGTAGGAAAATCATTGATTGTCCACATTAAGGCTACACGCATGGTGATGTTTGTCCTTGTGTCTGCATCGTATGTCTCCACACCATCGATGAATAAAGACCTTAACTCTTTGATAAGAGGTCGAAGATAGACGTCAATATTGTTTCTCGGTGACTTTGGACCATCAATAAGAAGAGGCATCATGAAATATGATTTGTCCATAGCCAACCATAGCGAGAGGTTATAAACCATCATCACAAGGGGTCATGTGCTGTGGGGATTACCCTTAAAGATGAATGGGCAAAAGCCATCACTAGCCAATCCCAGTCTAATATTGCGAGGTTCCTGACTAAATGTTGGGTCTACTGTCAAAATCTTTCTATGTAGGTGTATCTCTAGGATGACTCATTCATCCATTTTTACTTGGACGTGCACGGTGATGCCAAGTCATCGTCACTGCTGTCTTCTTACACTTGAATAGCCTCTGCAGCCTCTGTGTAATGGGAAAGTATCTTTATATCTTGATAGGTATATCCTTCTTCTGACCATGTACTTTCTTCTTATATCTAGCCTCTCCGTAAGTAGGACACTCTGTCTTATCTGAATTTTCTTTCTAGTAAATTATACAATCATTGGGACATGCATGTATCATTTCACACTTCAAACCAAGATTAGACATTATCTTTTGAGCTTTGTACTAACTCTCAGGCACATGGTTCCTTGGAGGCATAGAATATTTAAGAAACTTGAGAAGCATCATAAATGACTTGTTGCTCCATTTATTTAGGCATTTAATCTAGAATAGATGGATAAACCATGACAACATGGAGTATTTTGTATTCTCATAAATAGGCCTCCTAGCATTATTCATGTACTTATCATAATTGTCTTCACGATGTCCTCCGAAGGAGGATCTTCAGCAGGGTTAGTGTTACCAAGAGCTACCTCAACTATTTCCTTCATTTCCTCATCAAGAAATAAGTTGTCTTCTTCTTGTTCTTTTTCATCTGCATCACTAAGACCTTCAATTTGTCCATGATATATCCAAGTTTTGTAATCGCTAACAAAACCATTCTTCACAATGTGAAGTTCTACTTGTTCCAATTTATGCAACCTCTTCGCGCATCTATTACATGGACAAATAAGTCTCCCATGTCGGATCATATCGTGTCTATGTACAAAGTCCATGAAAGTACTAACTCCATTAACAAAAATAGATTGTATGCATTCTGCACGACCCACGTACATCCAATCCTTATCTTTGATGTAGTTACGAGCCTTGATAACCTAAATAAAATGAATTATTAATAATTACTTTGAAAATATGGATTTAAGGAATAAGCTAAGCATGATCATGACTTTGCTTCGAATATAGGGTTACAATTGAAAGGCAAAAAAATTTAATGAAGTTTAAGTTTTTCGTCTTTGAGGCGCTTCAAATCCCACGTTAAATTTGTATCAAGATTCAACCAGCAATTTCAAGCACCCAGCAAACAAATATTCTTTTTATGCTACTTGAATACTTTTTTCTTTTCATAAAATATTATGCAAGTGCAGCAACAGAAAGTTGGCATTACAATGCACCATTATCTTTCTTCTTATGGACAAAAGCATGAGCACAATGCATGTAGATCACAAATAATATGGCATTGAGAACATCCAGAAACCAATAGTAGTAGTCAAGATGTGCACGGTTCATGTTATTAGAGAACCAACTCTCACCTACACTCTCAGTTACTCCATCAATCACAGACATAAGAAAACTACTAATAAAAATTTCAATGCCATAGATGCTGAGATAGAGAGCAAGCCCAAGAGTGTTAAGTGCATTAGGAACCTGATCATAAAAAAACTCTAGTTGGCCAATCACAATAAATACCTCAGAGATGCTAATGAGTTGTATGAGGTATCACACTATATGTGTACTATTCTTAAAAAATAGTATGTGTAATACATCAAAGTTTGAATTTTTTTGTCGTAGGTCTCTTTAGAATGTTAGCTCAGATTTGGGTCTTTGAAATTATAGACAACCTCACCTAATCATCAATGCTCTACGTAGGCTATTATTCTCAAATATTTCATTATGAAAGAAGGATGATGGAAAGCTCTTTTATCAACTTCAAACTCCATAATTATTAGAAGTAAGTGTTAAGCTATTTATATACCTGCCAATATTTTGCAGTCAACTCTTCGCAAGCCGATAGTTACCAACATGAGGAAAGCTTTGTCAGTATATAGTTTACATTTGGTCTTGCAATATACTATGGTGTAAGCATAGTTGGCTACTAGGCGTATGGTTCGTTAGTTTCAGACTATCTCCTGAAAGAATTAAGTGGTCCTAAATGGTCAAAAGTTCTGATAAATTCTATAGCTTTTCTGCAAAGCATAATCTATCAGCACGTAGGTTTTCCTCTGCATGCATTTTTTATTATTAATTAAGTTTTCATGTTTCATGTATGACTAGAAAGGTTTTAACCATATCTTTTCCATAATACTCTTATGTAAATCATTAATCTCAATATACCTATGCATGTTTACCCTCTAGAAATTCCATGAAAATTACAATGTTCTCTTCCTTGATCTGCCAAGAATTTTAACTAGTTTGGATCCAATGATGAAAATACGATTGCATAAATATCACAATAGCAACATCATACATTACATTATTTTTCATGAATAACCACAAATTTTAGAAAATACAAGATAATAACAGAAAAAACTCAATATTTTCTAAAAATAAGAAAACTCTCAAAAATTACCTTAAATAAGTCTGCTGGAGAAAGATGATGCCAGAGGAAGAGAATATGACGTTGAGAAGTCGATTATTTGCTGTAAATAGGGAAATTTGAGTTAGATGGTTAAATAAATTAGACTTAGGGTTTTGTAGAGAGGAGATAAAACTAATTTACAGAGGAGATGGGGGACCTGAGGATGAGGTAGTGGAGGAGGATGTGGTGGAATCGAGAGGCAGTTGAGGAGGAGGTGGAGGAACGGATGAGGAGGAGCTAGAGGAGCGGTGGAGGAGGAGGCAGAGGAGCGGTGGAGGAGGATGTGGTGGAATCTAGAAGCGGTTGAGGAGTAGGTGGAGGAGCAGCGAAGGAGGAGACAAGGAGCAGTGGAGGACGAGGTGGAGGAACGGTGGAGGAGGCGGTGGAGGAGCGGTGGAGGAGAGTGCCGGCGAAGATGAGTATCGCCGAAGACTAGAGGCCGCGGTCGGACTTCCAAAATTTTAGGGATATATCGCAAGCTTGGGAGATTTTTTTGGGGTACGACTATTTTAGGGAAAATTTTGGGGGGAATCGCGGGTTGGGGAGAATGGAAAAATATAGGGGGGAGATGAATTTTCATTTTGTAGGATCCATCAAAACTCCCAAACGGTTTTAACCATTTGGTATAAAACATCCCAAATGGTTAAAACCGTTTGGGTGTTTCGTATGGGTTTTTCTAAACTCCTAAACGGTTTAAACCATTTAGAATTATTATCCCAAACGGTTTAAACCATTTAGGCTATTTTAATTTATCCTAACGGTTCCAAAACCGTTTGGGCTGTCCTGTTTTGTACTAGTGTGTTTACCAAACATTATGTGTTTTTGGATGCTAGAAATGTCATTTCTACTTCTCATCAATTTTCACTTAATATGAGAATTGTTATTCTCAATCAGTTATCAAGGAATTGGTATTCTCACTTAAGAGAGTATGAAAATAATAATATAAATTCTGAATATACCTTTCTTAAAGATATTCTCACTTAATTCTCGAATCGCACCCAAAGGTGAAAATAAGAATAGGCATTCCATTCTCACATCATTTCCATTCCATTCTTACATTAATTCCATTCTCACATGACTTCATTCCCACGTACCAAACAAGACATTACGTATATACATATAAAGCATTTATTGATTAATTTTTTTTTTGTTGGAAGAACTATACACAGTTGAGAATCTCCTCTCGCGCAGCTTCCTTGCTCTATTTTAGCTTCGAGGGAGAAGTGTGCGTCCTCTCAACTCTCATTCGCCTCCTCTTCTTTACTTATGGAAGTAGTAAGCATTAGCGAACGCTCCTTCGCCCATAGCTTGATATCATAACCCTTTATGCCAGGCAGTTTCTACTTAGTCGGTTGAACTCTTGGGTTGATGATCCTGTTCTTATTCTTCGAAATGGCGATGGCGAGATCATTTGGAAACAAAGTACGCCACCAGAAGGCATGGAGCAGCGTCAACACAAATAGCACAGCTACCATCATCGACGACATGAGCGAGAGGCTCACCGCGAGCCCTTTGCTGAAGAAGCAGGGAACGGCTTCTGCGTACTTTATAGACCGTAGCCATAGGAAACGTATATGACCACCAAGCCAAAGAAAACCTGCAACCAAAAGTCAAACCTCAGAAAAAAAACATAAATGTATTACTGCATATATACAGTTAAAAGTACTTACTTGAACCCTCTGAAGAAATTGATCCGAACAACGAGCGAGATATAAAGAAACAAGGCGATAAAGAAAAATGTCCTCGAAACCGCATCAAACTCCCCATAAATTGCCCTCCACGATACACTCGCCGCAGACGGCGTAGCAATGAACATGGAGTAAACAGGATGCAGCTCCTTCGGCAGCACTGTCGGCAGCCTCTGATAAAGCGTCACAAAACACCACCAGTAATGCGCAAAGCCCAATCGCCACAAGAACTTCGCCGGCCCACCCACCGACATTCGCCGCAAGATCGCGCCGACAAAGTTTTTCCGACGACGGATAAAATGTGATGATGGGTTGGCCGACTTTTGAGAGGGCGGCGCTTAGAGAGCCACTGGCCGTAGATCTTGAGCTCGAGGACGAATATCGGCAGGATGAAGACGCACAAGAGAGAGGGGTGGGGGTGAGAGCGGCTAAGGAATATCTTGGGGGCACCAAGGGTGAGGAACATGCAAGCGATCCAGGGGGCGAAGAAGAAGTTGACGCGGACAGGATGGGAGTACTCGCGGCGGACAGCCTCGAAGTAGAAGAGGGATTTGAGGGCGTAGGTGATGGAGACGGAGAGGAGGAGGGGGAGGGCCAGGAGCCAGATGACCAGGTTTATGTCGGGGGTTATGTGGAGGAAAGAGGTGGCGGGGGAGGAGGAGAGAGATCTCCAGAGGACGGCTTGGCTGCCCGAGAGAGATCCCAAAGGAGTTGATGGGGAAGCGGAGGAGGAACGGCCACTGCTCGTCTTTTGGGAGGAGGATGTCTTCCGTATCCTGCATGCATCACAAGCACACTGACCCCGTCAATGAGCGTTTTTTTTCTTTTTTCTTGTTTGCCAAAAACTAGGCCAAAATATGATCAGATTTGTTTTTAGTTTGTGGACCAAGGGGAAGGTGCTCCCCAACCATAACTTCTCGATAAAACTGTTTTCAAGATCAAAGCCCTTCATGTTCTGCTTTGAAGGTTCAAAATAGTACTTACTTATATTTATATATTACCATAAGAAATAAGAATAATCACTTTGATAAAATCTCGAACAACTTAATGTTAGATCCATGAGCTTATTCCCCAAACCCTACTGATTTAACAATACTAAACTTTGATAGAGGAAAGCTTTCAATCAAATATTGAAGAAAACAGATAAATATAGTATCAACTACATAATATGCACGCAAGATAGAGGCAGGACTTATTTTGATACTAACGAGTACCGCTTTCCCTTTTTTTGGGGGGAATTCACCACTACCGTTTATTACTTTATAAATAATTTGATTTATGAGGTTAAAAGAGTGGTTTTCCTAAAATACGAACCTTAGGTTCCAAATTAAAGTTGAACTAATAAAGTTGCTAAATCGAAAACCAAGTAAGATCTATTAATATCATTTACATCGATCAGCTAAACTAGTATTATTTAGGGCTCATTTGGTTTGATAGGAATACCGAAAGCAGGAATAGATCAAAGAAGTGGCTTTTAAATTTATCAAGTAGGAAGTAGTAAAAGTATACATTTTGATTTGTTTTATATATTTTTTAAAATAGTGGAAATCTCTTCGTTTTTTAGATAGCAATGAAAAGTTGTTAGGAAGTAACTAATAAAGAAAATATTAATAATTTTTTTTATATATTTTCTAATTAATACATATATATTTCACCTACTTTTGTGCTATTTTCGAGCCTTGAGGTGTGGAAAAACATTTAGGAAGTAAGAATGACACTAGTTTAGCTACTTCACAATTACTTTTCCCTGCAAACAAAATAGACCCTTAGAAACTAAATTCCGACAATTTTTACTCAAAATATAACTATAACTGAAGTCCGATATTCCCGACTAGAATCAATAAGTGCCATGCATGCAAATATAAGCTTAAATTACCCAACGCATATGCATGGATAACCCCCACAAAGAGTGGATATATCAATGGCTCATGTAATTTACCCTGACTTGGTCAAGCTCCGGTCCTCTCAACGCCGCAAAATACCTTCCGGCTGCCGGAACATTCTTATCTCCCATCCCTCCTCCTCCTCCTCCTCCTCCCTGACTATGACCTCCACTCTCCCCATTCCCATTATTCTCACTATTCTTCCTCCTTTCCTCCTCATCATAGTTACTCCCATTATTATCCTTCCACGCCGGCATCATCGACATCTGCTTCACCAACGTCGACTTAGTCCTAAACATACTAAAATCCCCTTTCCTCTCTCCCTGTGCTTCTTGATCTCTCCCCCCTCCTGCTCCTACTCTCAAATCCCTACTCTAGCTCTTCCCGCTCGAGGTAGCACGATTCCTCTCTTTCTGCTGCTTTCGCGCTTCTAGAGACCCTGTCGGTTGATTGCGTCCACTGGGGCCCGATCGCCGCTTGTCGCGCTGGCCGAGTGGGAGGGGCCGCGGGTGGTGTCGTCCGTGGCATGCTGGATGTCGATGATGCGGTGAGGTGGTGGTGAGGTGTTGCCATTCTCCATGGTTTATGATCTAGGAGAGGTCTCTAGAATTTGAGGGGAGCTGGTTTTATAGGAGAAATGTCTACAAGAGGGGTTGGAAAGTTTTTTTTGTTTGTTTTTTCAGTTTCACGTGTGCATGGAGAGGAGATGAGACCCACCAAAAGAAAGAACGAAAGAAAAGAGTTATTTGTTTCTTTTTCTTTCTTCTTTCTTTGTTGGTTGGGGGATTGGGAGAGAGGGATCACGGGGGTAAAGAACTGGGGATTTTATTTGTGGCTTAATTAATTTGAAGGGAGCGAGGTTTTGATTTGATGAGTTGTTTGAGAGGAAATTAAAGAGAGGGGGGAAAAGAACGGTCGTGATTTTGTGTGTAGGTTTATTCACGGGGGATGAATTTAATCCTTCAGGAGTCTGTTTTTTCCCCTCTCTTTTCCCTTCCTTGAATGGCAATGCAAGCAGGCTGTGAGGTTATTTTTGGGCCATTTCTTTTAATTGTGCTTTTAGGATGTGGATCTTTAGCTGGCTCACAGGCTAGACTGTTTATTTCTGGTCATTGTTATTTGCTGGCGGAAAAAAAAACCCAACATTCACAGTAGAAAAAGGAAAAAAAAAAGTATACACAAATGGATGTCTTCAATTTAGTCATTCAGATAGTCAACGCACTTGAGGTTCAAAGTTAATATGTGTGTGAAATTAGAATTCTACAACTTAGACTATAGTTTTTATAAATGAAGTTTCACATTTTTGATGAAGTTATCATACATGACGAATGCATGTATACACATAACCATTGCATATTAGTTGTACAATTATATATATTGCTCCGTAAGAATAAAGATACATCATAATTTATTGTGTATGCCTACATTCTATAACTAATTGATTAAGGGATGTGTAACTGATAAATATACGTAATTGTGATGCTTCGTTTTCTAATATTATGTTAAAACTACAACAAAAGTTGTAAATTATTACACATTTTTTTTCTCTGTGCGACACAATTTTGTATTATACAAATAGAGCGCGACACATACCAGAAGTATAGGTAGAGCATATGTGGAGAGCATTTTTCTGCACATATGAGAATGTATCGCAAAACTTGTGACAATACATGTGTTATAAAACTCATAACACAACTATGTGTCGCAAAACCCACGACACATTTAGTGTCTAGAATGGTTACACGTACACGTGCCACAAAATTCGTGACACATGAATGTGCTAAAAGTAGTGACACATAGCTATGTCTAGACCATAAAAATATAAAGAATATCACCATTCAACATTATGATTTCCCAAAAGATTACTCATTGTAAGATTACTTTCACCAAGCACACTTAACCATAAAATTGTTTGACTTATACCGTATCATATGTCTAATGATCAGTATAATTAAAATATTAAGACTTATTATTTAAGTGCATTAATAGATCCTCACACAATCACTATGGGACTATTAGTCTTTTTCATTTTTTTATTTTATATCTAATGACACAAATATGTGTCATTATTTGCCACACTTTTTATTGGTATCATTGTTGTTTAATCTTTTATAAATAAAATGATACTTTTATATATGTTATGAAATAGGTACGGACATATACAATTTTTGTTGTAGTGTAGGTTAACTTGTTATATAAAGGCTGTAATGTTTTTTTTTCACAATATATATACTAGCTATACTATTAACACCTTTGATATACAAATTGAGATGGGAAATCTAGATTTTACTACCCACTCTTCCCCGACCCCTCTCCCCCCTCCCCATATTTCCCCCTTTCCTCCTCTAGATATAGAACATGATAAATTCAACATGTGATACGTAGATGTTAGCATATATGCTCGTGTGAGATATCGAACGAGATAAATTCAACATGTGATACACAGATGTTAGCATATATGCTTGTGTGTATGTGTGTTTGTGTTTGTAAATGGGTATGAGGTGGCAGATCATCTCCCAAAATGAGTTATCAAGATGCGCATATGTGATGAGGCTTATCTTAATTGTCACATCAAAATGTGCAAAATGTGTGGACTTCACATCTTCTCCGTCTATTTTGTCCGGTGATCAACTGTTCAATCTCCGGTGGCTTCCAAACCTGTGGATTGTTGAGCTCTATTTGCGGATATTCACTCTAAGGTGACTTTGCTATAGAAAAAGACGATGTACTGGAGGTTTGATATCTCAGAATCATATGATTTGTTGGTTCCGACGAGGTCGGAGGCTATATTCGATCATGGGCCAGAACGAGGTCCGCTCTACAGAGGCATCTAGAATTTGGCTTGTAGTTACCTCTGCATCCTTTTTCGCCCTCACTAGGTACTGTTAGGAGAGGGGGGGGGGGTGATTAGGGTCTTATGCTAATCTAATCCGATTTTATGCCAATTAAAACTAATTAACAAGTTATCCTAGCAAGTATGAAATACAATATGATATGTGAACTAGGATAAGCAATATGCACAATGAAATATATCCTAGCAAAGAGATATACTATGAGATATATATGCAACGATATGAAACTAACACAAGGGTAAGCAAAATGAAACAAGATAGTGGATGATATAAAATAATGAGACAAAGGCGAAATGAGTAATGAGCACAAATAAGAATAAATGCCAAAGCACACTCAAACATAATCAAATGATCACGGAGTTCGGACCTTCCGTCCTACGTCTCCGCTCCCCACTCCTGGGGAGAAATCCACTATCACGACCGGGTTTTCTACGTTCACCCGAATAACGTTTACACCACACAATATGGTTTTCTAGTTTACCGAAAACTCTACAACTAACACACTCTTGTAATCCCACTCTACACCCTCTCAAGTGTTGAACTATACGTGTCTCCCTCAAGTGCTCGGTTACAACCTCTCCCTAGATTCGTTAACCGACGCCACTCCTCTTGGGACGATCCCCGACTCTCGCCACACACTTCTCTCGGTGTACAAGTGTATTACAAAGTGATCTCACAATAAGCACAATATAAATCAAATGATTGTTCTCTAAACAAGGTGAGAACTCAATTAAGCACAATTCTTAGTCACAAACCCATAACCCCAAATTATACTATGAATGTAAATACAATAAGCTCAAAAGGTTGTGTGTGAACAAAGAGATATAAATCAAAGCTAAACTCAATGTAGTTCTAGCTTAATAACAATGCTAATCAAATATATAAAAGAGCTAGAAATAGAGTTTAGAAAACTTCTCAATAGATCAAGAGTTGGAGGGAGAATAATTAGAAGCTCAAACTTCAATAGATGATCTCCTCAAGCTCTTGTGGAATTGATTCACAAAACCAAAACACTCAAATGCTTAAAAGCTTATAAACACACTTAAACCAAACATAAACCCTTGTTAAGACTTTCTTAAACTTGTTTTAAAACTCTCTCAATAGTTCATAGAGAGCTGAAGGCAATGGGGTATTTATACCCACTCAAAACTTCAGCAAAAATCCTACTAAAAAGACAACAAAGCCCCCAGAAAAACAGCTCAGAAAATAGCTGTTGGAGTCCAACGGTCAAATCGGCGGTCGATCGCAAAGAACAAAAAACAAAAAAAACTATTCTGGAAGGCTGACGGTCGACCGTGAAATTTTCGCGGTCGACCGCGAGACACTTTTGAATCTCACGAAACTCCAGAAACTTTGGTGGTTGACCGTCGCGGTCGACCGCGAGAAAAAAATAAAAAAACTACACTCTGGACTGCGTACGATCAACCTCCATGGTCGACCACACTGTAGCATGGTCGACCGTGGCGGTCGACCGCACTGTAGCAACGTGCACAAGCAATTTTCAGGTTTTTGACAGATTCTAGAAATTTACGTATCTAATTTTGTAAAATCAATTAAAAATAGTAAATCAACTCCAAAAATCATGAAATTTTGAGAGAAGGTTATATACATGTAGATTAACTTGCTATAGAAAGAATTTATGAAAAATCACTTCCCAGTTGAGAGAAATAAATGTTTGAACACAGATAAACAGTTTCTGAAAAACTGCTAAAAACTCGTTTTTGTAAATTCAATTGAAAATAACAAAACAACTCCAAAATTAGTAAAACTTGGGTAAATATTTATATATATGAATATAAACATGTAAACGAAGAAATTTTTTAAATTGCATTTCCTAATTGTGAAAACGCATCAGTTTTGTAAAAACATGCACGAACATGTGCACGAACTTGAGCTAATTAAAAACTTGATTTTTCCAAAAACGAGTTCAAACAACTTGGAAACACTTTAGAATGGATTTGTAGACATTATACGAGATATGAAAATAGTGTGAACAAGTCTTTAATCCATAAACACAATATTTTTCTAAATACAATAGAATATGAAACAAACAAAAGTGTATATGAAGATATATATTGTTTCATATCTACATAACTAAACCAAAACAACTTAACCATATGAAAACAAACATGTATATATATAAATATGTATTTGTTTCATATTTAAACTACCCAAGCTTGATCTTGATCTTCAATAAGCTTGACTTGGTACACTTGCGGATGAAGCTTGAACTTGGATTTTGAACTTGAATTGCATTACTTCAACCACTATATCCCCCATCCTCCATTTGATATGATTGTTATGGTGCAATCCATCCAACCTCCAACTCGTTGTTTGCCTAGAATAAATACGAAAATACAAACACTAGACAAACAACATTAGAAGTAAATTGTTTGTTAAACATCATCAAAACAAGAAGGCCAACAGTTATTCACGGTTCTTGGGGTATCACCGGCACAGATGAAGCTGAACGCCATTGCCATCTTGACGGCGTTCATCATAATCTGCTGCTAGCTAGGGATAAGGCCTT